AAAAAAAAAAAAAAAAAATGTATCGTGGGATTTAACTATAAAATCAAAGAAAGAAAATAAAACATTAATATTAGATTGAGATTAATCGACCTTGAGAAAAATCGGGAGGGTCCGATCTTGCCTCATTCTCGGTACGACTTCTTCCTCGATATCGATTTCTGAATTGTTGTTAGTTATGTAAGCCTGGGACATGAACTCAATGTTGTGGCCGAAACCGTTGCTGCTTGCAATCTGCATGGAGCCTAAGGTCGGGGGAGAAGACGTTAGTCGACCTTCGATCTCATCTTGGTTCCTACTTCCCATTTTTCTTGGATTATTGTTTGTTCATTCACCTAGTGTTTCATCAGTTGATATAGCTTGTTATATAGTTGTTTTGTTGTGAACAAAAATCGTGCATGTAATTTTCGGGCAAGAATGGTAAAGTTGTTAGGAAACAAGCTTTTTATGCATGGTCATGATCAGGTGGAAAAGAGTTAGATGGCTTGCTCTTCTTTGTTAGTTGCCTCACACGTTTGGCAATACATACATTGACTTCTTGGCAATTTTATTTAAAGGGTAAATGAATTGAATTCGGAATTGGAGTTAATTAATACTCCAAATTGTTCCCCCTAATGCTCACTACATTGATCGTGACCCTTGCACAAAGAATTATTTTAATTATCTCGATTAAAATTAATATTCTAAAGGTAAGAAACGGGGGAAAACAAGTGCAGTACCACGCACGTAAAGTGCGACAGAGAAAGGCTAAATGGTCAAGCTTTAAGATAAAGTTTCTACCTCTAACAATTAAGAAACGGGGGAAAACAAGTGCAGTACCACGCACGTAAAGTGCGACAGAGAAAGGCTAAATGGTCAAGCTTTAAGATAAAGTTTCTACCTCTAACAATTAAGAGCATGCAATTGAGGGCACTAATTTATCCTAGTCTAGCAACTTAACCACAAGATGACTAATTTCCTAATCCCTAGCAACTTAACCACAAGCTTCAATAATTTTGTATGTGTAGGACTCTAATGTGATTTTGACGACTAGATAGTGAACGAAGCTCTTAATAGCCTTCCTTTGAGAACGACCTGAGTCGGGTAGCTCGGTTACCATTTATCCACAAAATACTACAAACAAATTGGCGTTGCCGGAGAAGGCGAGTAGGACGCTAAGTTTACTATATAGTTGTCGTTTTTTACGTGTTTCTTTTGTTTTTCGTAGATTTTTCTTAATTTTGCGTGTTTCTCTTGATTATTTGCTTATTTTTCATCGGTTGAAGCGCTACTACGCTTAGTTGTATGTTGTATTAAAAAACCAAAAA